CGCTCCAAAGTTCCAATGGGACTTTCAGTCACCTCTCCATCCAGAAAGTCCTAAAAGGAAGGAAAAGTCAAATACCTATATAAAGTTACAAAAAAAGAAAAAAAATTTGTTAGTAACAAATAAGTAATCACAAATGTAAACAATACTGCACATCATCAAAGCAATCATCATTTTCTTTGTATTAAAAAAATAGTAAAATGAGGCTCAATGAGATTCTAATATATATTACTTACCGTACACTAATCTATACTAATATGAATATTAATTAATTGTTCGCATATGCAGCTCAACTGGTCATAGAGGTGAAAGTTTGGAAGAATGACCAGGGGTTGAGTCTCACCAGCGGTAGTGTGGGAGCAACCTCTCAAAGTGAGTGGAGCAAATGTGTTACCATCTTTTGGAAGAATGAATATTAATTAATTAGTAAAAAATTAATAAAAGCTAGATTGGTAACAAAATTTTATAAAATTGGAAAAAGAATTTCATTGGAATTTTGCATTTTCCCGTTTTAAATACATATTAATATATTACAAAATTTTATATGAAAAATTATAACTCGGTTCTAATATATTAGTTAATTTCTATATAAACTTTTAGTTCATATATACTATTAATTTTGTAATACAAATGGGATTCTAATATATTACTTACCGTTCATAAAACTTGTTGTAATAGTCATTTGATGTACCGGTCCATCAAATATTAGTTAATTTGTCTCAAATCATATCATTTTTCCGTCATAAATAATTAATCTATAATTGTAATAACAAAATTGTCAATTAAATTTGCAGTTAAATATGAATAGGACAGAAATTAAAAAAAAAAAAAAAAACAACTAAGTACTCAATCTATTTAATGGTTATCATAATTACTACATATGCAATTTTTAAATATAATAAAAGAATACTATATATTTTTTATTTTTATTTATTTGACAAATCCGCCATTTTAACATTTTGACCATAGACAAAATGTCAAAAAAAGTCGTTTGGTTCTTCAGTAGTTTGGAGCAAACGGTTTGTTCCAAACCGCTGAAAACTGAAATGCTACATTTTTCAGCATTTCAATTTGGCATTTTGGAAAGAATAACCTTTTCCCAAAATATCCTTGAATTATATTTATTTAAAAAAAAAAACTTATTGAAGCAATTAAAAGTTCCCTAAATAATGAAGGAGTCTTTTAGGCTATTAATGCTTTCCCAATAGTGATGGGCAAGCAAATCGTTTCGTAAGTCATTAAGGGAGCAATGCTCCTCTTATATAGAGGAGCTCTTTGAGCTCATCTTCATTCAGTAATGATATTGAATCAAAGTTTTTTTTTTTGAGTATACCCAAGGGTTTCCACTGTTGGACACATTGATTAATCCCACATCAGTTACGTCTTTATATTTATATACATATATATATATACATATATATATATATATATATATATATATATATATATATATATATATATATATATTATTTTGCTTTGTATTATTATTATTATTATTCATTTTGTTATTATTGCTATTGTTATTATTATTAATTTTTGAAAGCTGTTGTTATTATTATTAGTATTATTATAAATTTTATTTTATTATTGCATAATAATAATAACAATAATAATAATAATAATAATATTATTATTATTATTATTATTATTATTATTATTATTATTATTATTATTATAAATGTCCTTATATGTCTTTTTGCATTTAATCGTTAATAGTAAAAAGTTAATTTTGTCAAATATCTTTTACAAACTGTTAATGCAATTCGCTAACACAATTCGCTATCTGTTGACCGCTAACTTCTGGTCGCGAATTACTAAACAAAGCTAAAGTGTATATAATCCTAACCTAAAAAAATCCAAACAAAGTTGCGGCTCAACACTAATTTTACAAGTAATTAAACTCTATTCGCAACCATTTTGACTTTTTACTGGTACGCCATATCCATTTTGACTTAAATTTCATCTACATATTTAATTATTATTTTGATATTTTTTACTTCTTCCATTTAAAATTGCCCCTTTGACCGGGTATGCATACTCAATTAAGGAAATATATTTAATATTATTGGGATATATGTTTTTTAAATTTGCCAACTACCATATAGTATGATGACATCACAGTTATCCCCGGTGGATGGTCAAATGTTTGAACCCCGGTGATGGGGACTTTAGATTCTTTGGCTGAAAATGTGTGAGAAAGTATAGAATAGATACTACTTTGTAAAAAATCATAAGTATTTGAAAAAAAAAATGTTTTTTAAATTTGCAAATATTAAATGTATAAACAATACAGTTTTCATTATTTTAAATTTTTATTTAAAAGATATTTTGAGTAATAAAATTCTAAATATTATTAAATTTATAAAGTGTTTGGTAAATGACAATTTTTCTAATTTTGGTGGCTTTGTCTAACTTTAATGGGCTAAAGTTAGTGTATAATAAATGACAAATTACATTAGCTTATTAGGGTCAAAATGTTAAAAGTAGTAGGCACTAGGCAGTATTTGGGGAAACCAAGTTTCAAACCTCGCGGTAGTGTTTAAAGTGGACAAATCCCTTATGCGAACTGACATTTGACCCTGTCAGCTGAACTAATGAGTCACCGTGATTTACATCATCCCAAATGTTCTGTCAAATTGGGATGTGAAGCCCTTGAGGTTAAGGATTCAACCTTTGGGGGAAGAAAATGTTATAAATAGTAAATGTTTTTGCTTAACGGATTACGTATATTTAGTTTAAAACTCTTTTTTTTTGTCTCCCATTTATACTCTATTAATTTATAGCAGTGTTGTAAAACTCGGCCGCCTAGCCGCCTAGGCGCTAGGCGGCCACTTGCCTTGGAGTTTTGGCCTATAGGCGGCCAAAACTCGGTCGGCCGCCTAGGCGGCCTGGGCGGTCAAACTCGGCCGAGTCGGTCAACTCGGCCGAGTCGACCGATTTCGTTCGATTTTGACCGTTTTGACCGATTTTGATCGATTTTGTCTGATTTTGACCAATGTCGTCTTTCATTAATTATTGATTTTAATATTATTATGACATTATGACTTATAAATTATCATTATTTCATTTATTTAGATGTATTATTTGAGTGAACGTTGAAAACAACCTCATTAAAATTGTCGAACTACAAGTCTGTCACTATTTTTTTTAATTTTTTTGGTGCCCGCCTAGCGCCGCCTAGAATCCGCCTAGGCGCCGCCTAGACCGCCTAGGCGCTAGGCGCTGCCCGGCCGCCCGACTAGCGCCTAGCGCCTACTGCAACCTTGATTTATAGTTAATAATAATCTATATTATCACTCATATGTATTTATATAATTAATCATTAGTTTATATATTATTATTTATATAATAGTAATTAAAAAATGTAAAATCTAAATCTTTTTTTAATGCTACGGACTCTATTACATTATATTGTAGTATATGTTCTAACATATTTTCTCAACCTAATGAAGCACAAAGAATCAACAACGCCTCCGCAACAACGATAATTTCTAAAATTAAATTATTATAAGTTTTATATCTAAAATATAAAATGCTTTTAAAATAATTAAATAAATAAAACGATATATTTATATCCTTATATGTTATTTTACATGAGGCCGAATAAAACTAAATACTTCATCTTTCGCCATTTTATACGTCTAATTTGGTTAATGACGTTTAATTAAATTTATTTTCAATTTCTATTTTTATAATATTAAGTTTAATTAGTATTAGAATGTACAATTATATATTTACAAACTACATTAAAGTCAATATTAAACACTAAGAAAACCATATTTAAAAATAAGAGTTAATATCATCTAGAGTCCTCCAAGTATTGTGGTTTTGCCACGTTTAATCCTAAACTTTCAAATTACCACCTATGGTCCTTCGACTTTCAAATTGTTACCATCCGTGGTCCAAGTTAATCACCCATTGTCCTTCAACTATCAAATTTTAACCACCCATGGTCCTTCCAAGAGGACCGCGGCTGGTTAAATTTGAAAGTTAAAGGACCATGCATGGGTTATTAACTTGGATTACGGATGGTAACAATTTGAAAGTCGAAGGACCATGAGTGGTAATTGAAAGTTTAAGACTAAACGTGGCAAAACCACTATACTCAGAGGACTCTAGATGGTATTAACTCTTAAAAATAATAAGCAAATAAGTAAAGACAAATAGTTAGTTTGACCAATAAATACTAAATATGAATATATGACAAGTAAAATAAAACAAGTGAAGTAATTAATTTACCATTTTTAAAATAATGAAGAGTTAATTGCATTTTTTGTCCTGGATTTATAGGTGTCAATCCACATTTAGTCCTTTTTTATTAGAAAATTCCAAAATTTAGTCCTAGTATTATTGTGGTATGACAATTTTTGTTCATCTATCAACAAAGCAGTTTAAATTTTGTTAAATACAGGGACATTTCAGTCTTCAATTATGATTTAAAAAAAAAATAAACATAAAAAATATAACAGGTCAACCGACTTTGTATAAAAAAAGATCAAAATGTCTTTAAAATAATACTTTAGTGTTGCTATAATGGAACTAGTGTGTGTGAAAAAATGAAACTAAAATTTAGAGTCATACAATGACACATATTGTCAAATAAACTTGAAGTATGACTAAAATAATACTTCAGCATTACTATAATTAAATTAGTGCGTGTGGAAAATGAAACAAAGAATAGAGCTCATACAATAACGTATATTGTCAAATGAAACTATAGTCGAATTAAAACGATACTTTGGTATTTTTATAATGAAACTAATGTATGTGAAAAATGAAACTAAAAACAAAGCAATTTTACCAAATGAAACTGAAGCGTAATTGAAAAAAGGGTCAAATAGGCCCCTGAACATTACTCAATAAGTAAATTAGGCCCTTAAACTTTCAAAGGTTACAGTTAAACCCATAAACATGTTGTTGACTCAAGAAGTTTAGTCAAAATTGTTTGCAAAAAAGAATCTAAATTCAGAAAGGATAAGCATAAAGGATATAAATTCAAAGTCTAAACAAAGTAGGAATAATTCTTCTATGGGTGTATAAAGATTAATTAGCTATATAAAGACCTCCCATCCGATCACCAGAACTTGTGAATTCCCTAGCTTATTCTGTGAGGCCTAAGAGTTTTTGAGAGTATTCTAAATTTCCCTAGAAAGTAGTACATGTGTTTAGGTTACAATATTTTGGTAGGAAAGATAATTCTATTGTGTAATTTCAGGAAAGAATTGAAGGACTGTCAAACACCAGGCCCCCTGCCCTAATTGGTACAAATTTCTCTTACTGGAAAGCTAGGATGAAAATATACATATTAGCACAAGGTGAAGGAGTCTGGGGAGCCGTTGAGAAAGAATGGAAAAATCCAGTTGATGATAAAGGTAATCAATAACCTAAAACAGACGAGAGTGAAGAAGAACGAAGGGAATATAATCAGAATTCAAAAGCCATGAATGCCATCTATGGAGCCGTGAGTGAAGAAACCTTCAAACTAATCGCCACCACTAGTATAGCAAAGATTGCATGAGATATATTATGTGATCATCACGAAGGAAATACATCTGTTAAGCAATCCAAGCTACAAATGATTCAAACTCAATTTGAGAACTTAAAGAGTAGGATGAAGATATCACTCAATTTAATACAAGAGTGTTAGGGATTACTGTGGATGCATTCAACCTAGGGGAACCCATCCCTGAACCTAGGTTAGTGAAGAAAGTACTACGATCATTACCCAAAAGATTCATGATGAAAGTAACAGTTATTCAAGAAACCAAAGATCTAAATACCTGCAAACTCAGTGATTTAATGAGAAATCTTCAAACATATGAACTTGAGATGCTGCAGCACAAGAAAGCTAATGGAAAAAGAATAGCCCAATCAGAACAGGAAGAAAATTCAGATGTTGATACTGAAAACATGGAACAATCTATTGCATTGCTAACCAAAAACTTCAATAAAGTTTGTTGGAAAAATAGCATTCAAATGGCATTTTAAGTAGCTATTTTGTGGTACAATTATCAGTGGGGTCCACTTCCAGTTTGGGTCGGGTCAAAGTGGATTCGGGTTCTTCGTAGTAAGATGAAGAGATTGATATATTGTACGCTCAAAACGGATAATGAGTGAATGAGATATTGATTCTCAAAGTAGACCCATTTGAGTTGGAAAAATGAAGGGAAAAGCTTAGGAGAAGCTTTAGTCCCACATTGGTTTGGGAAGACGATTTGCCCCACTATTTATACAAGAGCTCTTTTAAAGTTTATTGAATTGTATAGCATAAAGGTTCTCTCTCGTGCGTAGGGGGGGTGCACATTAAATCCCAAATTGAGATCGAAAAGGCTTGATCTAAGCCCTAAACTCGTGTACACCGGCACCCGCATTTGTCCAATTGGCCTTACGGGCTTAAGTTATGCAACTTTCCATAACATTTTTTCCAACTCGATAGCTACTAATGAGCCGCGAAGCGGTCTGGTGCGCAGTACACTTCGGCCTTCCGTACTAGTATGCATCTGGAACGATACGAACCGGTCTACCGGTATAGTACGCGTTCGAAACGGTACGAACCGGTCTACCGGTACAGTACGCGTTCAGAACGGTACGTTCAGTTCACCACGAACTCGATAGCAACTAATGAGCCGCGAAGCGGTCTGGTGCGCAGTACACTTCGGCCTTCCGTACTAGTATGCATCTGGAACGGTACGAACCGGTCTACCGGTATAGTATGCGTTCGGAACGGTACGAACCGGTCTACCGGTACAGTACGCGTTCAAAACGGTACGTTCAGTTCGCCGTGATACACTTCGTCCAGAACGGTACATGTCGGTACTGTTCACCTGACTGTTTGGAGGATTAATTCAGTTGTTACGGAATTAATTCAATATTAATTCCAGAATTAATCTCCATGATACATGGTCAGTTTTTTGAAGGATTTGAACATGGGTTTGAATGCCAAAGTAAATGCTATTTACACCACCTTCTCCTATATAAGAAGTAGTAGTTGCAGCAGAATTTTTCTGTATAAGATAGACATAACAAAATAATCTTTTGAGCTTCAAAACCCATGCTTCTACTCCTTTCTTAGCCTACTGTGTTCAGAACTTTGCTCTAGTTCGTCGGGTTCGTTCGTTTGGGGTGCTCAAACGTCAAATCGTAGCATGTTTTATCCTGTGAAGCCTAGGCCACAACGCTCCTAGCACTTTTGGGAGGTGGCAAATAATGTTTTAAGGAAAATAGGCACATCGCTTGACTCGTGCTAAAAACCCAACATCAAACACAAGTCACTCTTCTTTCTTCTCTGGTTTTTGGGATTATGCTTCTAAGCAAAAATCCTTGTGCAACTCTTCGTTTCTTTTGGTTGGAATTATAATCAAAGGATTATAAGTTCCATTTCGGTTGATAGGCATATATATATATTTTTGGGGATATATATATATATATATATATATATATATATATATATATATATATATATATATATATACATATCTGTGTGTGTGTGTGTGTGTGTGTATTTCGGATATATATATCGAATAATATTTTATATACTTTCGAGTGTATATATAAATATTATTTTACGATATTAAATCGACTTTGGTTCATTATCACCAATAAAGTTTTCAAAAGGTTTAACAAATTCAGAAGCAAAAATAGAAATTCTTCAAACAGTCCAAGAAATTACTCAAGTTATCAAAATCAATCTATCAACACCAAAAAGAAGGAAAACACAAACCTTGAAGGAATACAATGTTATAAGTGCAAAGGATTTGGACACATTCAGTCTGAATGTGCAACATATCTGAAAAGGAAAAATAAAACATATATGACAACTTTAAGTGATGACTCGAATAGTGAAGAAGATACCCACACAAACTTTGTAGCCTTCACTGCAAGTCATGAAAGTGAGAATAGAACTAAGGATGATCTACAAGAGTTACTAGACTCATACACCCAACTGCACTCAAAATGGGAACAACTTATCAAATTAAATCTAAATCTCATGCAAGAAAATCAATTTTTGAAAAATGAAAAGGGAAGAGAATGATTTCTTCTCAAGGAAACCCAAGAAAAATTGATGAAATCTCAAGAAAAAGAAGCCAAGATGATCGAAGAAATAAGGGAACTTACTCAAAGACCAAAGTACCAGACCCAGCTTCTAGAGAAAGTCTTGCAAACGAAAGTCCAGAAGTGTCACAACATCACTTTCAACACCACTTTCAACACCGAAGAAGAATAAGATGTTATTACTGTCACAGACTGGGACATATCAAAGCACACTGCCATAGAAGATAAAATGACCTTCAATACAAACAAAACAACAGAATCTGGGTAAAACAAGATCAATGGCAGAATAAGAAAATCTGGGTCAGAAAAGATCAAACACAAACTATTGCATACACCTCAAAAACCAGAAAAGACAAGTATTTGGTATTTCGACAGTGGATATTCAAGACACATGACTGGAAATTTTAACAATCTTGAAGACATCCAATACAAAACTGAAGGACATGCAACATTTGGAGATGGAAGTAAGGGACAAATTATTGCCAGTGGAACTCTAAATGTCCACGGTCTACCTAAATTGCCAAGAGTTTTTCTAGTACAAGGACTAAAAGTAAACCTTATCAATATAAGTCAACTGTGTGAAGATGAACTCAAAGTAGAATTTTCCAAAGAGAGTTGTAAAGTCTACAACCAAAGTGTAACACCCATTTTTTCTAAACTCCAAACCCAATATAAGCATTCTTAATTAGGATAAATCAAAGGTAGATTAAATAAGCTAAGATAACAATCTAATACAATAAACTAAAGGGCAATGTCACCGCCACAGTCACCCACTTGCGGGTGACTGCACAGGCTAATAAAACTACTAAGTTAAAGAGTCAAACTCAATAAAACGACAAAAAGGGGAAGCAATCCCCGGTGTCTACACACCAACAACGGTAAAGTAGTTTACTACAACCATCTACAAAATACATCTAAGGGAAGAGGGGTACTAGTCTAGCAACTACTACATTTAGGACTACGCACTAGTCTATCATTGCGCGGTCTCATGCACTGGGCCCACCTGAAAGGGGTTATAAAACATCTAAGAAAATAAACCCGTTAGCAAATTAATGCAAAGTATAAAGCCACTCAACACTTCACACACAATCTCAAGTATGAATATACACAGTTACGATACTAGCGAACAGTGCATCTCTTGCAACTGCCACATCCGTATCAGCGGAACCTCTAACTCGTGGGGAGGTAGGAACTTCACGAATCGTGAATGGACCTATCCGGGCTAGCAAACATGGGCCGCCCACATACTCATATCTCTGTGGAATCAGGTATCGTACCTTCAATGTGCACACCCCTTAACTGGAATTCCAAGGCCAGCGGGTAGTATCCAACCTAGCAACTCGAGAATATCAACCAAGTTACTTCTAAAATATCTGTCGGTCATCTGTGACCGTTTCTTCTTTTCTCAAACTTCCTTCTTTCTCTTTTCTTCCGAAAGGACATAGTCCTAACGGGGGCTCCATAACATAGATTTTCCTCACTTATATAGATAGCATATATATCTCATGCAACTTCTTTTCTCATGCAAATAATCTCAATATTATGCAAGCTTCTCAATGCACATATATCTCAAATAACTTCTCTTTCTCACATTGAAAATCTAATTGTCATGCAAGCCGGAAAATAGATATAAGTTTTTGAAAATAGCTTAGAGCTTCACTTTGAGCCTTTATTGTACTTAATCTTTAAAAGTGGCAAAATGTCATTTTCAAATGCAAAGTTTGTAAAACAGTGACTTATGCAAGAAATCTTAATAATCTCATCAATTCTACTAATCATGAGTTAAGCAATGTAATTAGCACATTTAATCAAATAATTCTTGTAAGCAAAAGCCAATATGATATTTCATAACATTGAACCCAAAAGCTAAACAAATACTCAAGGACCAAATTCATACTTTGTCTGCTAACATGCTTCTACTAAAAAATCATACAACTACAAACTCATACTAGCGTGTCGTAACGAGCCCGAGTGTCCGAGCCTCAAGGGCCCACGAGTCCCGGTCCGATACAACACATGGCTGAGCCTCAGAGGGCCGACCTTCTCCTCAAAACCAACAACACATAATAAACACATTATCATGCATTCTCAAACATCTCTAAACATAAAATCTCAAGAAATCTCCAACTCAAAGGGTTAAAATAATAGATTTGGGAATCAATGGTTTATACCTTTAACCGAGCTCCAACGCTAAGCATTCAATTTATAATAATAGCATTAAACTATATCTTATTATCATTAATCTACTATTTCTTTCCTTGTCATTAACTCATTCACTACTGCACTTAATAGTCAATATCTTGTCTATTACTGCCCAAACATCTTTGTCAATAAAGCACAAAGAGCCAATAACGTCTCAACTGAAGCTCGAACTCACAACCTCCCATATGGGAGTCCAACTCGGGTGCCATCTGAGCACAAGGTGCTTAGAAAATCATAATATATATATATATATATATATATATATATATATATATATATATATATATATATATATATATATATATATATTGGAACTAAAATGTTAGAAGGAAAATTCAAACCCTAACAATCCTTATACCACATCAATACTCTAACTATTACACCACTCAACTCATTTAATCTTTAATCAGTTTTAACAATACTTAAGCCTTAATCACCCACTCTCATAATATAAATACAAAACTCTGTCGGCAGCTTACCCAGGCTTCATTCCCGCCGTCCAAACTGCAACGCCGGAAGAGCTCCACTGTCGGAGAAGGGGTTAAGGTCACCGGAGGAAAACTGACTACCTGTCAGAGCTGCTCCACTCGCCCGGAAAACAAACCACCAAGCCGACCTACCGCCGTATCTACTTTGTTCTGCCAGAAAACAGTCACGCCAGACATGGAGGACGTCGGATCTGTTGTTTTCCCGTCTTCTGTTCGCCTGGCTCTGCCACATTCGCCCAAAGGAGAACAAGAGATGACGTGTAACACCCAACTTTTCTTAAACTTAATTAGCAAACTAAACCTTTAAAGATAAGCTAAAGCAGCTGATTAAAACAACTAAATAAACATAAAGAGGTGTTATCGTCACAATCACCGCGCACTGTGACTGCACAGGTTACAAAAAGGATCTAAAAAGAGTCAAGCTCAAAAGTACTACATCCAAACTTGGGGAAACACCCGGTGTTCAACACCAACAAAAGAAGGTAGACAACTACAAATCCCAAAATAACATAAGAGTTTAGACTATAAAGCTATCTAAGCTAAACTACACTACTACAAAAAACACTTTTAACGTCGGTTATTTTACCCTTTTAACGTCGGTTTTTTGTCGACGTTGTTCTGGCAGACGTTGTATGTAAATGATACGACGTCGGTTTAAAAACCGACGTCGTATGTATTTTTATTTTTTTTAAATATAGAAACGACGTCGGTTTTTAAATAATAACCGACGTCGTATGTTTTTTTAATTAAAAAAAATATAGAAACAACGTCGGTTTTTTATTAATAACCTACATTGTTTCTTATTTTATAATTTAAAAAAAAATTACGATGATGGCCGACAAAAGCTAATGCCTGTCAATTGTTATCAATTTTCACTATTAATCATCCACACAAACAAAAAGGAATTAGCTATAGAAATTTGTGAAAGCAAATTGCAACTAAAACCAAATTAGTGAAAGATTATTACGATGATGAATGTTTGGGGCGCCGCTTGACGGAAACACTTGTAGAAACTGAAACAGAAACTCAAAATACTTGGCGACTTCAACGGCGACTGCTGGTGGCGACGGAGCAGTGGCTATGGCAACGGCGGTGGAACCTGGGACCTCAAACCATACTTTGCGACGCTGAAAGGACAACCATACTTGGCGACGCTGCGGACCTGCTGACCTCGGAGGATGATACGTACCAGATCTGCTCCATTCTCCTCCAGATCTACTCCGTTCTCCTCCAGATATGCTTCGTTCTCCTTCAGATCTGGTCCGTTCTCCTCCAGATCTACTTCGTTCTCCTTCAGATCTGCTCCGTTCTCCTCCAGGTCTGCTCGAGGTCGACGGTCCCGAAAGTGTCTTGGAATTTGAGATAAGGGTGGACGCACCATGCTTCTGCAGGTTCCTGGACGACGGCCTCCAAGACGCACCATGCTTCTTCCCGGACGACGGCCTCCATAGACGCACCATGCTTCTTCCCGGACGACGGCCTCCATAGAGCACCATGCTTCTACTTCTCCACCAAACTTGCAGGTCAAGCGGCAGAGTATTAATGTTGAGAGAAATTGAAGTGGTGATGCAACTGAAGGGCATTGGAGAGTTAATATAGAACAGCAGAAACGCATTGTATTATATTTCTTTTCAATACCCTATAAAATAATTTTTTTTAATTAAAAAACATACGACGTCGGTTATTTCGGTTATTTGAAATAACCGACGTCGTATGTATTTTAAAAAATATTTATTTAATAATACGACGTCGGATTTATATCAAACTGACGTCGTATATGACATATTAAAATATTAAAAAAGTAAAAATGACATACGACGTCGGTTATTTAAATAACCGACGTCGTATGTCATTTAATATTTTTTTTATTTTTAATTAATGATTTACGACGTCGGTTGCTCATAGAAAGCCGGCGATAAAAGTTTTAACGTCGGTTTAAACAAAAACCGACGTCATATGTCTGACGTTAAATGTTATTTCTGTAGTAGTGCTAGTTTAACTCGTGCTCTCTTTCTTACGAACTGGGCCCACCTGAAAGGGGTTAACACACGACAAGTAGAAAACAAACCCGCTAGCACGAAGCTAAGTATAACGCCACTCAACCCTGTAAAGTAATACAATATATACTTTTGGAAAACATTTGTTTCACATTCTTAGATCAAGCAAACTTAATCACTTAAATCATACTTTGGCATTAACTTCTAGATGTTTGCAACCTAATAACGAATAGGCATGCTTATACAACGAACATCACTTCACAGTCTCAAAACTTGTAAACAAATCTAAAGCTTTCTCAAGTACTCAACGATCTCATGCTTTCTAATATAATCAAATAAGCAATCTCATGTTATCAAATAACACGCAGGCAATCTCATGCTATCAAATAACTCATAAGCAATCTCATGCTACTAGTCATGCAATCTCGTGCAAGACATATAACTCATAAGCAATCTCATGTTACTAATCATGCAATCTCATGCAAGACATATAACTCATAAGCAACCTCATGCTACTAATCATGCAATCTCGTGCAAGACATTTAACTCATAAGCAATCTCATGCTACTAATCATGCAATCTCGTGCAAGACATATAACTTATAAGCAATCTCATGCTACTAATCATGCAATCTCGTGCAAGACATTTAACTCATAAGATGATGATATAGTATAAGTATAGAAATACATATACACTCTTTTGTAAAAAGGATACTTTTCTGTGGAGGTTTCTTAAAGCCAAAAATGACTCGCTTTCTTAGAGTCGTGATGACTCGCTTTCTTAGAGTCGCAATGACTCGCTTTCTTAGAGTCGCAATGACTCGCTATCTTAGAGTCGCAATGACTCGCTTTCTTAGAGTCGTGATGACTCGCTTTCTCTTTACTCGTGGGCGAGGCAGGACTTCACCATAATGTGAATGAACCTATTAGGTTCGGCGTCTAGCCAGCCAATCTCTCATCCCGCCCAAAGAACCAATCTCGTGGTTCCAAAACTCAAACTCTGTGGAATCAGGTATCGAACTATTAGTGTGCACACCCCCTAACCAGGATTCCAAGCCTGGCAGGCAGTTTCCAACCTCGTAACGTGAGAATACGCCGCGTTACATGATATTGGATCGCAATGTTCATTTCTTTCTCTTTTACTCCGAAAGGACATAGTCCCAACGGGTCCTCCAAAACAAGATTTTCCTCACAATAGATACATATAGATATTACTCATGCATCTGGAATCATGAAACATTTATCTTATGCAAATATGCACATAACTTCTCAACACATTCTCAATATGACAAGATAATGACTTTCCAAAATGGATATGAGTTATTGGAAAATAATACTTAGGCTCACGTTGGCCACTTATGCACCTTTGAAAACATGATATGCTCAAAATGCAACTCACTGTAAAACATGTTTCCATTTATATTCATTGTGAAATCTCAATAATTCAATAAATCATGCTTGTTAATCATAACTTGACAAATCTTCTCAACGATCACTTAGCAAGTATTTAACATGCACTTAGAGCTCAAAATAAACAAAGGGACTCATTTAGTGCAATTTAACTTCCCAGATAGATATGCTTTGTATACTTCATCATTTAACAACTTGGCAAGATTCTTAGTCAATAATAATAGACACTTTGGGCATGCTTTTCTTAGCTAAACTTGACAATTAATGTTTATACTTCTCTAATTAAGAATCAAATTAAATAATAACATGCTCATCATATGGATAAATCAAAGTTTGATACTTCAACATTTTCATTCACTGCAACAACTCAAACCACAATTTGCAACATTTATCTCCACAAAATTTATCATAACAGGCTCAAATCTTCACCAAAAACAATGAAATCAAGGTCTAAACGTGCGTCAAGACGGCCCCGAGGTTCCGAGCCACAAGGATCCACGAATCCTGGTCCAAAACGACACGTAGCTGAGCCACAAAGGCCCGGCCACTACACAGGTTCTACTCAGCGAAGCTTTGGGCGGGGCTTAATGAGGCCTGCTCCTTGGTCCGCCAAAGACACGGCTCAGGGAAACGACCCTCTCCTAGGGCCGTCCCCTAGAGCCGGTCCATCACGGTGCTAGACAACGGCCTCCTCAGAGGGCCGTTGGCTAGGCCCATGGGGCTTACTGGTGCACACTGCCTGTGCACCAGTGGACTTCTTTTCATCTGCAATAAAATCCTCAGGCAATTTCCACACATCCAAACCATGAACAATACATCATAACTCAACAATAGATCACTTGATAGCTCAAACTCTTCAATAAACTAGCATTTCTACTCATTTATATTCAAAAACATAGACTTCACAGAGTTTAGAAATAGCTTTGGGAGTCCATGGGTTAGACCTTTGAAGCTTTCTTCTCTTGGCTGGGATTCCACCTTCTTCCCAAGCTAGATACACCCTCCTTCACCTCCTAAACATCTCAAACAAATCACACAACCACTTAGTACCAAGTTCCCAGAGATAGAGTAGAATAAAACTTAAGAAATAGAAGGCTAGAGCTTGGAGAAACATACCGTGACTTGTGTTTTGCAGAGCAAAATGGTTGGGGAAGCAAAGAGTGGAATCAAGAGGCAAAGCTCTGAGAATGGCTCAATATATAGTAGCACAAAACCCTAGGAAAATCTCTCATGATTGGAGGAGGGCAAAAGTGTAAAGGGTTGGCTAGAAAATTGCATCAAACGAGCTCTTGGAGTGGTGTGGTTCACCATGCTTCATGGTCCATGGTGCAAAATCAGGATTTTAAAAGTAGTTGGGGTTTGAAATTGAATTTCTCAAAATGATTTCTGGATAGACACTTGATTTAGGCTTCTCAGAGTTCTCCCGGTTTCACTCACATTGAATTTTCAGTTCAAAACATGGCACGCAATGTACCCGAGAATTTAGGACTTTTGTTTCAAATCATGTTCCGGTGTTGAATTCATTTAAAAGTGGCTCAAAATAATTTATTCAACACCGATTTCATCGCAAAAATTTTTATGGAGTGATAATTGGCTATTTTGAATTTTCTTAAAATCAGATTTATAAAATTTAATTTTGGGTTGTCACACGACGAGGGAGAGAGGAAAGTCCGGAGCTCGTCATCGGGAAACGGAGGCCGTCGCAGCAGCCGCTGACTGCCGTCACCTACATCGATGAACTGCTTCGAAGCTACTTTGTTGGTCGAGCTACTCCGCCGTTGGTGTTGACTGTCGAATGGAGAAAGGTGATGGTAAGGGCAAGAGGTGAAGAGGGTGGTGGTGGTTCATAGTGGCGGTGGTCGAGAGGGAGATCCAAGAGAGACATGAGTGTGAGAAAGACAACCCACAATATTTTATATACATATACTATATTTAGATATTTAGATATTTATATAATATATCGATATATTGATAGTAGGGTTTCTAAAAGAAAATGGGTTGGGTTACACATGAATGTTGGGTCAAAATGTTGGGCTAGACATTTTAGATTCAAGAAATATTTGTTGGGCTTAAGGGTCTCAAATAATTTGGGTTTAGATGATTGAGTCAAGACTAGCTAGAAAATAAATATATTTGGGCTTTAATAGTTGTAAAAGGACTTCTCAGGTTCGTCTTAGGTAGACTTTGGGTCAAAATTTTGGAATAAACCGTCGTAGAAATAAACTAATTTTATTTTGAAACTTTATAAAATAGGAATTTGGAAAAATATTTTGGGTTGTCACACAAAGACATGAATGTGTTATGATGGGAAAAAGATCATCCGATAAAAGCTACAAATGGGATGTCGATCTAACCTGTCATTAATCTACCATCAATCAAACACCATTGTGGCACCAACTAAGGGGGAGAAAGACAGGGATCAAGGTTTTTGCCAAAAAATTGACAAAGGGGGAGAGTGTTGACTCAAGAAGTTTAGTCAAAATTGTTAGCAAAAAGGAATCCCAATTCAGAAAGGATAAGCATAAAGGATACAAATTCAAAGTCTAAACAAAGTAGGAATAATTATTCTACTGGGTGTATAAGGATTAGTTCCCTAGTTTATTCTGAGAGGTCTAAGAGTCTTTGAGAGTATTCTAAATTCCCTTAGAAAGTAGTACATGTGTTTAGGTTACAATAGTTTGGTAGGAAAGATAATTCTATTGTGTAATTTCAGGTTCCAAACTGTGTACTTTGAATATTGAACTTTTAGTGGATTTAGGCAAATTCTCAAATTGAGAAGTGTCTCGCATACTAGGTGTTGGTCCCAAAAGAGGTAAGGTGAAAGTCTAGAGGGGGGGGGGGGGTGAATAGACTTTCAAACTTTTTTGCACAGCACAACAATTGCTAAGCCAGAGATAAACCAAAACTCTTAACTAGATTGTTACAGTATGGTGCACATCGGAAATAAATAAACATAAAGTGTGTATGAGATTGTGTGAGCAGTATATCTCGTGTAGAGCTAATATGTAAAGAGCAGTAAGTAAAGAAAGCAGTAAAGAACACAAGACAATTATAGTGGTTCGTGAGGTGGTGTAATCCTCCTACTCCACTTGCTCTTATCTCCAAGAGCAATTCACTATATCTACCACTCCTTGGTTCCACGATACAATGAATTTCCGTGATCTAGTGCTTTGATCACAAAGCCCGCACTAATCACGCCCAGTG